GGTGTGAGAGACACACATCGATGGGTTGCCTCCTGCACATGCCCCGACCAGGGGTGGGGGGGGGATTGAGCCTGCAACCGAGGTACATGCCCTTGACCGGAATCGAACTGGGACCATTCAGTTTGTGGCCCAATGCTCTATCCACTGAGCCAAACCAGATAGGGCACCACTGACCCTCTTTTAAAGTAAATTTTTATTTATTTCAAAGAGGAATGGAAAGGGAGAGGGATAGAAACATCAATGATGAGAGAGAATCATTCATCAGCTGCCTCCTGCACACCCCGTACTGGGGATCGAGCCTGCCCCCAGATGGCCCGCGGGCCGTAGTTTGAGGACCCCTGCAACCATTTCCAGGTGCGCAGTTCAGAGGCATTCAGCACATTCACATTACTGTGTGGCCATCACCACCACCCACCTCCAGAGCTATTCCACCTTCCCACACAGGAGTTCCTGCCCCATTAAAAACTAACTCTCAAGGCCTAACCGGTTTGGCTCAGTGGATAGAGCATTGGCCTGCGGACTGAAAGGTCCCAGGTTCGATTCCGGTCAAGGGCATGTACCTGGGTTGCGGGGCAGCTGATCGATGTTTCTCTGTCATCGATGTTTCTAACTCTCTATCCCTCTCCTCCTCTCTGTATATATTAAAAAAAAAAAAAGATGGGGAGGGAGGGAATGTGACTTTAAAGATGTAGGAGGGGGATCCCGGTTTCCCAGCCAGCATTGGCCTCTTTTCATGCTGAGTCGCTCCTTTTCATTTAGCAGAATATCGAAGCTGAGAAGAAGCCGATGAGCGCCCTGGATGAGCCTGTTTCTCACTGGAGACCAAGATTGACACTGAATGTGATGGTGGATGACTTTGTCTTTGACGGGTCCTCCCTGCCGGCCGATGTGCATCGATACATGAAGATGTAAGTGCACTAGTCTAACCGGTGACTGAGGCTTACGTGACTGGCTTTGAGCATCAGTTTGCTCTGTGTTGTCAGCAGAGGAGGCGACCGCAATGGTGTAGGGTTGGAGGAAGCCCCTCAGGATGGTGACCCACCAAAATCCAAAAATGGATTGGTCATACCTGCATTTTTTAAAGGAATGGAAAGGGAGAGGGATAGAAACATCAATGATGAGAGAGAATCATTCATCAGCTGCCTCCTGCACACCCCGTACTGGGGATCGAGCCTGCCCCCAGACATGTGCCCTTGATGGGAATCAAACCCAGGACCCTTCAGTCTGCAGGCCGACACTCTATCCACTGAGCCAAACCAGATCCGGCACCACTGACCCTCTTAACCATTTTCAGGTGCGCAGTTCAGAGGCGTTCAGCACATTCACATTACTGTGCGGCCATCACCACCATCCACCTCCTGAGCTATTCC